TGTCCGCATTTACCGTAAAACTCTCTCAGATACATCACTTTACGGCTCTCACTAATCTAATCACGAATCTGTTGTTCAAATTAGAGCTCAAGAAACGGAGGTTATGAAAGCTAGGAGATCATGTGCTGGGTTTAAGACAATATCAAAATGACTTAACTGCGATGTACAACAACGATAATCCACGATAAGTTCGAATCTTTTGCTTGCCGGCTTCAAATGGTTAATTTGTCTTTTTTTTGTCAGCGTTGTTGTCTTTTTCAGCACAATAACGCTCCACAAAAAAGCATCACTTGCATGAAACCGGATGGAACAACTGATATTGAGTGCGATGAAGATACCTTCTCTGTTAGAACACCTGTGCGAAGAGGTAGTCCTAAACCACCTGTTGGACAGCAACATTTCACATGGGCACCTCGTCGTCCGTGTCACAGCGCTGCTTTGGACACCTTAAGACGAGAGCGACTCTTGGCCAATGTCCGACGAAAGCTTGTCTTCGATGATCTATGAAGTTGGAAATACCTGAGATTGGAAACAAAATTATTAGAAAAACAGATTGACTTGGCGTTTTGCAATGGCGATCAACAAAATGACTCTCGTACGAGCAACTCTCGTAAAAACGCAATAACACAATGATGTTTCCATTGCATGTCAATATTCATTCCAGCAATAACTTTGAAAACTTCAGTCATTGTCATTTGAATTCAGTTATAATCATTCTTTGCTAAGTGTCTATCCATTGAGAAGCTGATACCTACGTGATCTAATGGTTTCCATCATTTTTCTTTGCTTGTTATTGTTACCTCATTGCTCTGTTGTCATCGACCGACCATCAACCAATACAGGTGTTTTTCGCAGAACATTGTCGCTTTTCATGGTTTCATTGCCTTGTAATGTGCCACTATGAATTGTGAATATCGTTCTTCGTTATCCAATACTGGAAATTGCGAATTCATCATTCGCAGTCCACTAATCCGTACTGCATTGTGTGTGTTCGTTGGATAATTGTATTTGTTTAAAGATATAGTTCCTTTCGTTTCGAAGAGGTTATAATATTGGTAATTTAATGAATTATGGATTTTGCATGTGACAAATCTTCAGTTTGATAAAGTCTAATGGTCGAGCATATTCGAACATTCTTATTTAATTCATTCATGGAGTATGGAAATTAGATATTCAAGCAAAAATGTATCTATGAATTGAGCAGTTTTTGGGTTAAATTCCTCGTTCCAATGTATTATATTTATATAATTTGTATTCCTATTCTTATTCTTATTACTACAGTTAGTCGTCTTGCTATGTAACATTGTTAACATTACTACCTTATAACCTTATTTCAACATTACTACGTCAACATTACTTCAACATTCAACATATTTTAACATTATTACTACGTCTTTCAACATGTTCGTATGCAATTTTTTTTTTCATTTTGTTCTTACGACGAAAGTTTGT